CTGTGACTTGGTTCTTAGACCTTTGCCACTTCAAGCACAAGTGGACTACCTTCTTCCCCCGAATACAACGTACGGTCATTATAGCTGTACTAGACTGAAAGATGCCTCAAATACAGCTATAATGACCGTACGTTGTATTCGGGGGAAAAAGGTAAGAACCAGGTCACAGGAAAAAGAAGAAAAAAGAAAGAACCAAGTCACAGAATCAACAAGGGACTACACTGAGGTGCTTTTCATTTTCTTTCCTTTTTTTTTTCTTAATCCCTACAAAATGCCCCAGATAAGAAACAAGAGATCATTAATAATTACATCTCCCTGAATCTAGGCAACGGGAAACTAGGAACAGTTGAAAGAGAAAGACTGCAGTTAGAAGACTGGTTAGTTATGCCCACATCAAATACCCAAAATCGCACCACTCCGACACAACCCACAGTAACAAACAACCTATCCCCCATCGCACCAAATGGAACAGATACCACTCTATGAAATTTTCTATCAACCCACACTAACCACCTACCACCGCCCCCGCCCCCCGCAACCACCGCTCATCATCAAACATCACCCGAACGCACCCTCACCAATCAAAATACCCTCCCATCCTCCAGGTCTCACGCCCGCATCAGAAACCCAACACACCCACATCATTCACACCACACTAAATCCTAACACCGATTCCCCATCACACCACCCCCCAGCAAGATACACTGTCCAAGCTCCCGATAATAGCTCGGTCAATCGTTCATCAGCCTCCCAGATCTCTGGGGTTTAGAGTTTTTCGCTTCAGATGCTACTCTCAAAGTTACATTCAGACGATACTTCCAGACGGTACTCCAACTCGGTCAACGCGCCACCAGTAATCCAGGGTTAAGGGTTTTAGCCTCAAACATTACTTTCAAAGAAAATTGCTCCAAAGGAGACCGGAATTCGAGCACAAAGGTCCGTCACACCCTCCGTACGGGAAAAACAGAGTCACACGATAGGCTGAATAGACAGTGAGGAGCAGACAGAAAAAAAGACCGGATAGTTCCAGCAAAGTCAAGCAGCTATCACTCATAGCTTCTAAGGAAAAAACAGCCTAGAATAGGCTAACTTAAACAGGGGTGAAGATCGGTACATCCTCCTTCAAGGAAGTAATCAATGCTGTGTTCTGGGCCTCCATGCCATAAGGGGGAGGAGCGTGAGTGAGTAACATTTGTACTATCTTGGACTTGCCGGGGGAATAGGAACCGGACTGATGCTCCCCAGAATGGAAAAGGAGCCAGAACCATAAGGTTCTGTTAAAAAAAAAAAAAAAAAACCGAAAAGGAGCAGAAGAAAAGAAAAGAAAGAAAGAAAGAATGCCAGAGTATGAGCAGCCTGTCACACTGCTACATTGTGAAAGACCCCAGGTGCCATCCAGAGATGCCCTTCTGTTTCTGAGGCTCCATCTGTATTTATTGGTGTGGTGCTCCTCCAGTGGACCTCCACCTGTTGGCATTGGGGTCCAGAGTTGGAGGGGAGAGATTGCAAAAAGGCAGGAATCCTGGAATGTGCGTGTTTTGGCTGAAGAGGCATTGGCGGGGGGCTAGGTTACAAGAGATTGAACCAGGGGGCCAAATGKGGGAGCAKGGGACGAGGGAGAAAAGGGGCGGGGGGGGGGGGGGGGGGGGGKGCTTTTTCTTAAGGTCTTGCAATTCCATGTGTTTAATTGTGTTGTTTACTACAAATTGGTACTGATTATCAAATGTTTTCTTAAATATAAAATGGCGAAAGCTGCAATCAAGTGTGAACATACTGGGGAAAACTCACACTTGCACTTTCCAAAATGCATCTGATACTAGACTGATAGCAATTACGGTCAGACCTGAATGCATCTGACTGTAATCACGTCCAGAGATCAGTTGAAAAAGTCCTGGTGTGAGTATGCCCTCACACACTAGGAGTATTTCAGCTGATCTCTGGACGTGATTGCAGTCGAATGCATCCAGTTTTATATGTGATTGAAGCCGGATGCATTTAGGAAAGTGTGATGCGAGTGTGAATATGGCCAGGGGATCAATCATGTGATGCAACCAGCCGACTCACATTTCAGGAACATTAAAACGGGGGGGGACATGAATGGCCTTTCACTTGTCCTTGACTGAGTGGGATTCATGGTATCCCAAAGCCCTTGCTAATATCAATAGCCCTGTCAGAGCGATAGATAGCCAGGGTTAGGGACAGCCGGGCTATTGATAGTCAGGGCTATCAATAGCCAGGCGATGTTCCCAGAGTGGCCCAAGACCACTTGCCCGGTCGGGCCAAAAATGAATTAAATTAGTTCATAGCAGGGCTGGGCCAGCAACCGTCCGGTTCACCTCCCCCGGTTCACCCCGATCAGGACCGACCCAGGAGGGTTGAACCGGGAAACCGTTTTTTTAAAAAGAGCCCAATTTTTTTTATTTTTTATTTTCCCGGTGGATTCCGACTGCGCTCTTCAAGAGCTGTGAAAATCCGTAAAATTTTGAAGGTGCATTTTTTTTCGGGGGGTTTCCTGGGAAGGGGGTATTCGTGGGATATTCAGGGAGGTATGGCTTACCATGGGAGGAGTCGAGTAAGCAAGTACACTTGTCTTACCGTGGCCCAAGTTCTTCAATTCAACACCATAGGATGTTGTGGACCAACACCCCACAGGCTGAACGAGATATCCTAAGAGGAGGTACTAGTCAAACTTATAGCTCTTCCAGAGTATAGGTCGACAACAGAAAAGTTATGGGTTCAGGTTTCAGCTCGTGCAGCTAGAGCGTTTATTGTTTGTTTTTTGAACTTCTTTCCTACATACGGTGGGTCATCAGTCCGGAAGTATCTAGCCCGTAGTCCGTCCAGATACATGTAGTGGAGCGAGGTCCATTCTTGATAGATTGAGCGAAGAATATAGCTTAGGTCCATCCTTGGGCTTGCACCTCGGACAGCCTTGAAAACCGAAGCCCATAACCATTTTCCCCGAGCATAGGGATGTCGCGGAAGCATAAAACCTCAGCAGAGCCACAGCATCAGCTCAAGGATTCCCTCATGACTGAGAGTGAACGAGTATCAGGGCTACACAATACCAAATTGAAAAATGGGGTCTGTCGGACCCCGCATCTTGAGAAACTTTCACCGCTGATCTGCAAAGATCAGCAACGGAGATCCGCCGCCCGCTTTTCTCAAGAAGCGGGGTTCAAAATTTTCCTTTTTTTTTTTGTTGAGAGGCAGCGGCCTTCTGGTAGCTGGGCCCGTGATTACCCAGTAACCCCCCCCCAGCGTAATGCGCTGGAGTCAACGGGGGGTCTGCCGGGCTGGTCGACTGCCCGGTCCGACGAGCAGGCTTCCAGTCGTGGGAGCCCCCCCCGGTCCAACCCGGGACCAGCCCTGGTTCATAGATATGTGACAATATATATACATTGTCACTGTGTCCCATATATATATAGTTTAATCCTCCATCCCACATCTCTGCCTGCATTGTGCACGGACCTGGCCATTACATGGCAATTGTAAGTACCTCTGACCACTGCGAGTTTTGGGACAACGGCATCATGGTCCATGGCATGACTGATGTCACTGATTTCTTACATAATGATGATGTTTTCTTGCCACACCAAACTGTACGCAGTCTCTTTTATGTCAAAGATCATTCCTCTGGCCCCGTGCTGCAGCAGGACAATGTACCAACACTCTGCGACCTTCTCCTTTGCACTGCTACAGACATTGTTACACTCGGCTGTAGCCGCCATCGTCTCTGTCAAAATCACTACGATGACATGGTTTCTGCATCTATGTGTGTAGAGTACTGTCTTTCCATTCCTGACTGCAGGCACCCTCCTCATCCGAACACTATATGTCCAGTTTGCGGCCATGGGCGCTATACTGAATGCATGGTCTTTTGTGGTGAGCGCTCTTCCTTCATTTTGGCCTGCAATCGACATGCCATTTGTCGGGAGTGTATGTTGGGCATGCTCAATGCCAACCGCAGTGGCAATTGTTGTGCCGAGGATGCTCAGCTAGGAATTCGATGTGCCAATCCACCTCATCCTTAACAATGTGCAACGACTTGCTGTTTTCTGGTCGCCTGTAGCCTCTCTCTTTCGAGGCTGTACTATAGGTAGGACAGATTCGCAATTTTGTTTGGCTGAGGGCTAACCGAGAGACCTACCTGTGAGGGCAATTCGTGAGGGACATATCTGCAAATCCGGGAAAATACAGGCCCGGTACTAACCAGATTCCCTACAGCTACCCTAACTGCGTATAGCAGGCCCGGGCTACCCTAGGACAGACAGGCCCTAAGGGCCTATTCTGATAGACGGTTCTAAGTACCTTGTGAAGTTCTTGTACCAGCCACACACTGAGGACCGCTGGTTTACTCGCAAGGAACTTCTGAAGACAACCAAGTGTGTCATCCTCAAATATGAGGCCGCACAGAAGGGAGTATCCCTTCGGCGCTCTGCACGCCTACGCCCCTAGCTCGGAGGTCCTTGCTCCGGGGGAGGGTAGGTCTGCAATGACTTGCTGTTTTCTGGTCGCATGTAGCCTCTCTCTGTCGAGGCTGTACTATAGGTAGGACAGATTCACAATTTTGTTTGGCTGAGGGCTAACCGAGAGACCTACCTGTGAGGGCAATTCGTGAGGGACATATCTGCAAATCCGGGAAAATACAGGCCCGGTACTAACCAGATTCCCTACAGCTACCCTAACTGCGTATAGCAGGCCCGGGCTACCCTAGGACAGACAGGCCCTAAGGGCCTATTCTGATAGACGGTTCTATAGCCTATAGCCGGGTCCGGTAGAGGCCGAGAGGCCGAAACAGAAACGGTACCGGTCGGTCAGTCAGTCCGGTCTAGGTCGAGTCTAGGCTAGTTGTAGTCTATAGATAGATTGGGCACATCGGCTCAGGGCTTTTGGCAGTTGGTACCGAGTACGTCGCTGCTGTGCTACGCATGAACCCGAAGTGGTGACGGCTCAGCATGGAAGGAGACAGGCATAGCCAGACCTTCGGAGCGCCGGCCATAGCTGGGACCTGCGCTGTACTCTGCCAGCACGCAGGGGCTGACAGAGGTCTGGGTTATTGAGGTCCGCTGGAGACGAGAGAGATTGGTGCCCTGCTGGACCCTCCTCCGGAGTGGGGTTCCAGGGTGTTTGCGCCGCAGCCATAGCTGTAGCTCCTTCTTCTCAGAGGTCATCTTGTCAGGGTTTGGTGGCGCTGCTGCAGACTTCCACCCGGGAAGTCTTCCGACGTCTCGTCATCATCAGATACTGTGGCGCTGGTCTTCTTCTTCATCCTCTGAGTGGCGCTTGGCCTTAGAGGCCTGTTTCAGGGCGGCTCTGCCCTCAGGAGGCTGTATCTGGGTGGCGCTTGATGTTTCAGGGACTCTGGGGGTGTTACGGGTGTTATTCAGGGTTGGGGAGTGAAGCGCTGCTCAATTCCGAGCAGCGCACTGTAGTACTGAAGTTATCCTGACAATTCGAGACTCTGAGTTTAATAAACAGTGTGATACTGTGTTGAACTATCATCGTTTCATTGTTTCCTGGATGTGATCTGCTCGGCTTTTCTCTATGACTGTTTGAGAGGATTGAGTGGAGTGAATTGCACTTTCAGTGTACCCTGTCATCTCGCATGGTCAAGTCTTCCGCTGTGTTTATCTCTCCCTGTGTGATGTGATACTCCTATCCTCTCCCCCTCCTTCTGTGTATGTATGGGCATATCCGGAAGTCTATGTGAGTGAGTGTTGGCCTTCAGGCAACGAACAACCAGAATCATAACAAATGTGTGTCCTTGATGACATTCTTGAGCCTTTTCTTATCCTTACTTCCCCTTTTTCGTTCTTTGTTTCTCCTCTTCATCTCTCTTCCTTGTGTTTATCACCTCCCCCTTTACTCTGCCTCTTTCTCGCAGCGTACAAGTGGGCCGTTATGGCACACGGGGATGAGGGCAGCTTGTGCTCAACTTCATCAACGTGGCAAGCCTTGTACGTGAGAGGGACGGTGAAGGGGGAGTTCAAAGAAGAATGAGAAAAATGAATAGTTTGTGCGCCCCTCATGTTTGTCTTGTTTTCTAATCTTTACCGTTTGTTTTGCAAAGTGTGCTCTTTTAGTTCATAGTTATGTCACTTATGTGACAATATATATATGGTGAAGGGGCAGTTCAAAGAAGAATGAGAAAAATGAACGGTTTCAGTGTGCCCTTCATTTTGGTCTTGTTTTTTACTTTTACCGTTTGTTTCATAAAGTGTGGTCTCTTAGTTCATAGATATGTGACAATAGTACACAATATATGTATATTTTACTATATTAGTAATATTACTGTATATAGATCGTCAAACAGAGCCATATTATATATGCACAATTCGGTGAAATTTCGACAAAACAGTTTGTCACAGCCCCTCGTTTGTTGTCCTCTTCTCCCTCTCTGCCTACGGTTTACCGGGCAGTTCTATTTGACGATATATAATAATATATATAATTTTTAATTTGGCAAAGAATTTCGATGTGACCCTGAGGCGGAAGTTGTTCAGTTTATTTTTCTGCAGAACAGTGTTTTTTCCCAGATGTTTTGGATTTTTTTTAATGTTTTTTTACAGGGACCTTACCTGGCCCTTGCCTGGTCTGGGCCACCTGGGCAACCAAGGTGACCCCGACCGCCCGGTTGGTAACGCAATAGCGAGCGCTATGAGAGTTTCACACTATTGCTAATTAGCCTCATGATAGGTAAAAGCCCAGTATCAGATTTTCACTAAGTTCAGCGTGGCTTTGTGGTAATGTGTGAATGAAGCTCGATCAGAAAGTGCATGTTTGTGTGTGTGTGTTGGGGTGGGGGGGGAGGAGGGGGGAAGAAGGGTGAAGATGGATGGGACCGTGTACATCTTGATATCGATGTTATGCAGTGTGGCACATTGTGGTGTACAGAGCATACTTGGGGGAAGAGTATAAGGATACAGGTAATCTGAATCGCCAACCCGTGCTGCTCAAGCTTTTCCTATTTCCAAGAATGCTATTGGACCTCGCTCCACTACACAACCCATTCACGTTGTCAACCTCCACCTCCCCTCCTATTCCTCCCTCCACCCCCCCAACACC